TCTGTGATTCTGTGATTCTGTGAATCTTTGCCTGTATGGTTGGAGATACTAGTTTATAATCTCATTTATTTATTGAGACAATTCTACAAGGACACTTTGACACATACTGGAGTTTTGTTCTTTGTCCTTCAAGAACTGAGGAAGATGATGTGTCATCTCCAATGACTGTTCATTGAACAAAAATAGCAAAGTGGAAACAAAAATGTTTCCCATTAAAAAAGAAAGTTTACATGCTATACTGAAGTCATTATTCAAATTCACAGTTGAAAGTGACTATCACACTGCCTCAGACACAAATCCATGTAAGCATTTCAGTTCAAGTGATTCAGAGGAACCAATGAATAAATAGTCCCATCACTGTTTTTTGATGCAGGAGGGCAATGGCCATTTCTCGTGTGGAAATTATGAGCAGATGAGGAGGTCTCTGTTCTGTAAATCTGGGCTTGCATTTCACAGCAACCAAACTTGCTCAACAGAATGAAGAAATCCCTGCGGAACGTCTTGGTGAAAATGGCGTAGAGGAAAGGGTTAGCACAGGAATTGATGGGGTAAAACAAAACCAGAAGGATCTTGGATTTGGACACTGTGATGAGAGGAACCTTGAGTGAGGCTGATATGGCAAAAAAAGATATTGGTGCCATGCAGAGGAAGTCTGTGAAGATCAGTATGGCCATGCGCTTGGCAATCTTGGTGTCGCTGTTTGAAGAGATGACGTTAGGGTTTCTCACAGTAAAGTAGATGCAGATGTAGCAGGCACATATGATCACAAATGCGAGTACGTTCAACACTAAAAGAAACATAACATAAGCCTGAGAAAACGGTGTTTCTATATCCATGGGCAAACAGATGCTCACCTTCATGTAGCTGCTGACACCAAATATTGGAAGAAGTGCCACTGTGAAAGCAAATATCCACCCAAAAATCATTATAACCACAGCGTGACGAAATCGAACCTTACGGTCCAGTTGCATGGCGTAGGTGATGGTGTGCCACCTTTCCAGAGTTATCACAGTCAGCGTGTACACTGAGAGTTCACTTGCAAACACTGTAAAAAACCCTGCAGCATTGCATCCTGCCCCAGTTTGCCAGTCGATGGCATAGTTGTAGTACTGGCTTTTGGTCTGAATGTCTACAGAAGCAATAAACAACAGGTAGATACCTATGCAGAGGTCTGCAAACGCAAGATTGCACATCAGAAAACGAGGTACGGTGAGTTTGTATTGACTGCTTATTAAAATAATGAGGACAACAATGTTCCCAGTGATGGCTAAAATGTTGATAAACCATATCAGGACTCTCAGGATAGTGTATCCCATGATATCTTCACATGGATTAAAAGCATCCGGTTTAGGTGAGCAAGCTACGTTAACTACTTCATTGCATAAACCATAGTCAAATTCATTCTCTGCTGGGTCAAATCCTATGCCGTAGTTGGAAATATAATCTTCAGCTGCAGATCGTCTACGTATCTTAACGCCAGGCTGCTCATCAAGGTCTTGCTTGGCCTGAGATATGCTACATATTGGATGTAATTCAGTGCTGAAATTGTAAAAAGAGTGGAGTTGAAAACTGAGAGACACAGCACGAGACATATAACAAAACATGAAATCATCCTGTTTCCTTTAACAGCTCAGATTTTCTGGTTAGCTGATTATATAGATTACCCTTGAGCTTGAAATTAGTAGTCTGGCTGGTCCTTATTCATAAAATATTACATGAAAGTGTAAATTATTTGGAAAAATCATAAAAGGTAAGGGAAAGGAAACTCTGCTGTTTGCTTTGCTAGCAATCGTGGCACAGTTACCCACCTGGACAGGCACATTCTGTAAGAAGCTGTCCTTATTTCTACTGAATTTCCCAAATAACCTGTCATTGATAAGCTGATTCTTGCATGAGGGAAATGTGATGACAAATTCCTGCATAAGACTGAACTTTGGAGAATGAGTCAATTCAACTGTGCACATAAGGAGCCTGTATAATCACAATAAAGCTACTATCCCTTAGTACTATTCTCAAATTCATTTTTTTCCTAAAGTTTTTGGCAGCCGGTGTGCCATCTTCAATCTTGTAACTCCAGTTTGTTCCATTCATTTTGAGTATCTCATACCATATTGGCCATTAACACAAATAAAGAGCATAAATAAATTCATGCAGTCTTCCAGATAATCTCTAGAAGCCAGATGCCAACACAAATGAAAACACAAGACATGGTAGAACATTTTGCTTAAAAACTGTTTTTCAAAGAAAATGGATTTGAAAGGAGGCAAAGTGAAGCAAAGCCAAGGCAAGCCAAACCAAAGGAAACCACACCAACCCAACATTTCTGTAGAAACATTAGATACTTTTGTTTCTGTCAGAAAGTATTTTTTAAACATTTTGCATATTTTAGAAAAGGTAGATAAAGTGTTTCAAGAAAAAAAATGCCTTTGAAGGTGAAACAAGTATTTTTGACAGCTTTTTGACAACTTTGGCTTTATTTCCTAGAGGATTAACTCTATGCCCTTCTTCTCCATGCCTAGACCAAAGGAAGAAACAAATGTTTTGACTGAGACGACAGAAAGATGATCAGCTCCCTCAAAATAAGAAATACCAAGGCACGTTAACAAGAAATAAAGGATCAGACTTTATCAACTGCCATCCTTGAAATGTGGTGTCCCAGAAACATACATCCATAGCTTTGCATAAAATGGGCCCAGACCCAATCTGAGTTAGAGAATAAACCAGCTGACAATGTGGTGCAAAACCAAGACAGTTCAGCTCTGCTGACTTTCATCTACATCCTAGACAGTAATTTAGGTGTGTAATTTCTAGGAGAGGACCCCAGCTTGCCTTCCACCCTCACTTGCAGTCGAGTTGAGAAAAGAGCTTTCTAGGCAAGTTAGGCTGAAATTGTTAAACCGTTGGTAGCAGCTTCAAAGAGAGGATTCTTTTCTGTAACCTAATTCTACCCTTTGACTTTGTGCACTTGCTACATCTTCCAAAATCGAGTTTAAAAGGTCTGCGAGAAAGGAAAACTAATGAAGACCCAGCACCAGAAGGTGAGGGACGCTTCCTACGAGGTTCTGAGCATCCTCTATTATTATCAATATTTTTTATCTTGCCTGTCAACTGAGGCAGAAAACTGATTTTCTTGGAGGTCAAATAAGCCCTGTGGAGGTCACAACAGCAATAACAAGGCATTACATTTTGCGCCGCTGTGTTCTGCTCGCGTAAGGATGAGTGAGGGGTCCAGTGTATTGATCAATATATCAACATTTCTCTAGCTGAAAGGGAAAATATGGAGCAATAACGGGAAAGTCCCTCCATTTTGAGTGCAACAGGCATTTGAGGGTGTTGAAATCTACTGCAATTAGTGGTTCTTCATAAATGAACGGAGGGAAATGCTTTTATCCAGTAATTCCTCAGCTATGAGTTAAAAATAAACCTTTTCCCAAATTACGGAGGCACTGCCTGGAGCAAATCTGTCCCTTGATAAGACTGCTATGTCAGGCCACTTAAATATTTCTGATGATTACAATTTATTAATTGCTGAATTATCTTACAGCCAGCGGTCCCAAACAAAACCAGGTTCCCATGGAGTTAGCTGCTCTGTTTGCTCCAAGGATGGGTGGTGAGGGGGGTGTCCCAGCTGGTTACCTGTCCCATGAGCAGATCAGATGGGCAGTTGTAGACTCCTGAGGGAAAGAAAAGCCATCCTCTGGTACTGACTGCTTACCAGTTCTTTGAATGGAGATATTTGCCCTTTGGGCTCTACAGTCCATTCAGAACAACAAGTTAAAGCATTTTTTGGCAAGGGATGCTTGCTTCCTTTTGAGACAGTAGGTAGCACAACACAGCTCATTTGTTCAGTCTATTGTAAGCCTCTGTTACTCTTTAACACTGTTTTGGTCAAGTAAACCCTCTGAAAAACAAACTAGAGAAAGGACAACTTAAAGAATAACATTAAAATTGGCAGAGTGCTCCAGCAAAAATAGACAAAAATTACTGCCTTTGTACAAGTAGTTATTTTATGTGCTTTGCCTGGATCCGGTGACAGCAGGATCTTGTGTGCTGAGAAACATGCTCAGCAGAATAAACAGTCCTGACCCGGGTTGGTTCTGTATTAAGCCCTATCTCAAACCAATCATCCTCACTGCAAAGTGACATCGAGTGAGTTGTGAGCAACCCCTATTATGTTCTCATAAGATGAGGCCCAAACACAACTCCTGATGCTGCCACATACTTTAAAAAAATAGGATTTCAAGTGACAGCTCCTCCAAAGAATAATGATCAAGTGTAAAGACAGAGTCATATCAATGTCATTCTTTTAGGCAGAAGGTGATCTTTATGTCGAAGAAAGACAAAAGCTTGCTGAAGTTCATAATAGTCTATGTCAAGTTGAGGGTTTTAACATCCAGCCTCTGCCCTATCCGCACTTCAAGGATATTATTTTCCAGTCACAGAAAAACGTGAGGGGAGTTCAACACACTGCACTGGGCTTGTCCTAACAAAGCAGTTTACTTTCTGTTAGGCCAGCATCACAATATTTCAATGGGATAAATCTACAGATTGATATTCATCACATAACCTTTCTTGAAATGGGAAAAAAAACCAAATAATCAAAATGGCCTACGTTTTAATTTGTGTCTCAGGCTGGTGGAGCTGTGCTTGATGAGACACCCTCCAAAGTTTAGGAAGCACTGCCGTAACAGGTTTAAGGTTTCTGTTATCACAACAGAGCCTGTTCGCCACTGCAGATGGACTGGGAGAGGTGACTGAGCATGGTCCACTATGGCAATTTATTTTATTGAAGGTTCTTGAGTGCTGCAAAAGTCTCAAAGAGAGGAAATCTGACATAAAGGAGGCATCCAGAAAGGGGCCACGCATCCATGCCTTCATTCCTTCACAAATTTCCCATGTGGACACCAACTGCTGCTGAGATCCTTAGAAATACATTCTGGGGATGATGAGGCATCTTTTTATCCTCCCTGGACCACCTGGAAGTATTCTGAGACCCAAACGGCCACGGGAGAACAACCGTCTCCTGTGAGGGTGCACAGCAAGTCAGGTCAGGCATGGTTCTCACCACCACTGGTGCCAGCTGTCAAGAAAACTGCTTTGAAATGAAAGCTGGTGTAGCTACTGTACATGTAACTAATCTCTCCTGAAGTGTATGGTAACACCTCTGGCATCCAAACTGAACCAAAATGCATCTATTTCCTCTCTGTAAGCTGGAGAGAGGATATCAGTCTCCCACCAACTTCAGTACAAGACACATGACTGTATAAAAGAAATTCCCATTTTTAATTATGCTTTAAAGAAGTTAACAGGAAGAGTTGATCTAAATAATTGATTCCAATAATTTTGCATTTATGCTTAATATTTTTTAAAAGTCTGGTAGCTATTAAAGACATACAGATACATTCAACTTTGATCTGTTGAACAGGGTGATACAGTTCATATACACATTTATTCAAGTAATCGTACACCATATATCATAAAGAAGATAATCTTCAGCTCGCATACTATTTCTTACCGCTGCACCACACCTGATACTACAGTGGACTGTGAAGTTGTGACCAGACTTGCTCCAGAAGCAGCCCCAGCGCTGCACAGTGCTCCAGCCCAGCTCACTGGCCATCCACACTGGTATGAGCTCTGCACAGTCCATTGGCATTTCTTTGCCAAACTGGATTTGCCCAGGCTGTGGGAAGAGCTGTTAGTGTCTTCCTTGGGTTCTGACCTGCCAGAGCAGAAACTTCCAAGAGTGGGGCTAGACTGAGGGGGAAGGGAGTGCTGCAGGCTTCAGTTCCCTGGGACAAGCGTGACATGGAAGTTATCTAAAGCCCAAGTAAGGGTACTGGAAAGTGAGAGCTTACCAAAAGGTCAGGGACATTTCCTCCTGTAGTTTTCCTTCAATAGTGACTCTTACCCTGTTTTTGAAAAGTCCAGTTGCCTGATTTAAGGAGTGGATTCTGGGATTTGGGGCTTGATTTGTCCCAAGTAGCCCAGAAGCCAAGTACCTTCAAAAATATGAATCATAGTGATATCAAGGTTCCTTTGCAGTTTCAGGACTAAACACGCTTCTACTGGACTCTTTGGCAAATACCACTTTGCCACCAGTGCTGGAAGGACTGGACTCATTTCTACTTAGCAGCAACTAAGCACCGTACATGCATAAGCCTGCAGAAGTAGGTGAAAATGTCTCTAGCTGATAAAAGTCCTAGCGAAAAGTTTAGCATTTTGGATCAAAAATGGGCATTGGCTGGATGTATTCTGTCAGATACTTCCCTTATCACTGCAGTCTCCACCATCAGAGTTTCACTCTTTACACAGTTTTACAGACACATGTAGGTGATATTTATTAGCTATCTGCACATGCAAGATCAGTTATCTTTCATTACCTGGTGACAATACAACACTAAAAGTAAAATAAATGGCTATTATAAGAATTAAAATAGAAGCTACTAATAGTTTATACTTTCTCTGCATGGTTTTACTTTTCTTTGAAGTTTTAGGTGACTTCTGAAGACAATGTCTTGAATTGTAACAATGATCCACAATTTTTTTCTGGCATGGCAAATTACAAGTCTTTGAAGACACCCAGTAAAGGAGAAACTTCCAAGAACAACAGGAGTTTGTAGAGGCACCAGTTCCTCATGTTTTTCCAGTGGCCCAAATTCAGGAGGTTCATTAACTAGTTAATGTGTACATTTGAAGTCTAATCTGAGCAGCTGAAAATATTCGGTGGGAATCATTGACACCTGAAGTCTCACTGCAACTTCTAGTGGAAAATTAAAACAAGCATGGAAAATTGCTTTGGGAGCCCAAAAAGACACATCACCCTCCCACCCCTCTCTGTTGATTTGGGTAAAATCATGTCCAAAACTGTTGTGTATGTAGACTGGACAGGTAACGTGTCTGTGGCCCTTGGCTGGACAGTGTTCCAACATAAGTGTGGCTTTCAGAGACAAGAGTTTAAGATCACTCAGCAGTCCTGTTATCCTCCTGAATTGATGGCCAAGTATCGACCGGCTTCTCTGCAAACACAGCTTGCCCTCCAGCTACCTCCTGAAAAGTTATCCAACTTCTGTTGAACGCCTTCAGCATGGCTCCAGGATGATGCAGGACAGCACATCCCCATGAAAGATGGACCTATGACCGGTGGGGGATAGACCCGCGGCTGGGGAAAATGTTGATGTGAACACACCTATCAAAATTCATTACTCCCCTGTGATGAAGAGGCAGTGCACTCTATAGCGTGCATAAGCATGTACGCATTGTATATTTATTTATTTCTATCCATTTACTTACCTGTATTGAAGAGATCTTTTCTATCCAGATTTTGAGGAAGTTTATTTAATTCACTATCAACTGCTGAGAAGCACCAAAAAGAAAAAAAAACAAATGAAATCACTTACTTTTGTCTTTTCCAGTTTGTAAACGCACAGCAATGGCTAGGGTAGGTGAAGTTTGCCTCTATCAAAGATCTAAATTTGCTTAAATCGGGAAGCTTTTTTAAATTATACGTAGACCTTGCTCTTAGCTTCTTAATGTGTTCTAATCCATGACTGGGCAGGAAACTGATTCTTGTCCTTGAAATATCCCTTTAAGAAAACATATGAAAATCTCAGTAAAAAGCAAATTTACTTCTGCTTGATGTGTTTTAGACTGACTCATTTTCAGAGAAGCGATTGGAAAGAGATCAGCTGGAAATCTCAACAGAAAAGAGGATCCAGGGATAAATTAGGTGTTCCTCCAGGAATCCTGAACTAATATCCATTGCAAACAACAATCAAGTGATGTTAGCCTAGTCCAAGGAAAAAGAAAAAAAATCCTGTAACACTGCATAAGAATTATCAGGGATGTAAACTGTTATGTAAATCATTAGTGCCATATGATTCTGGGTTTAGTGAATACCCAGTAAATACAACAATTATCCCAGAATACTCTTACAGGATAAAAAAGCTCGATGCAATCACAACACAAGTTTGCTACATAAACTTCACATGATGGGAAGGCTGCTGCGGAAAAGGCAGTAAACACAGAGAGAAGCTCCCGGGGGGTACAGATGTGAGGAGAGGTTGATGCTATTAGGTTTTGTACTCATTAGGAAGAAAAAGAGATTAACAAGGAACAGGGGTGACATGGTTCCAACTGCGAGGAACAAAAATAACAAAACATTTCCAGAGGTTTAAAAAAGAAAGAGAGCACAGACTGAAGGGAAGAAAGGGGCAAGATTACAGGAGGTGAGGAGAGATGTATTTGCGTGGAAGGTAATTACTGTGTGGGACGGGCTACCAAAGGCAGCAATGGAAGCAGCCAATACGAATGTATTAAAGAGAGCATTAGCCAGGCTTTTAAAAGGAAACACATTGTGCAAACACTAAAGCTTGACCGGTGCCGCGCAGGCGGGGAAGAAGAACCAAGGGTGCTCCATCTCCAGTCTAAGAGATCTTGGGAACCCATCCCCATGGCTCCAGGTTGTAACAGCCGGGGCACAATGTCCACACATTTCCCTCCCTAGTGCACAAACTGCGTCCCTCAGCTCACAGCAGCAGGAGAGTACACTCTTTTCTCTTAAGAGCACCAGTAAAAATGAATGGCACAGAATCACCCTGTCCTCCCTTGGCCCCTCCGCTCCTACAGCCTGAGACTGATCCAGGACCCAGTGCTCTCTGGGGCTGCTCCGCTCTTTGTTCTCTGACAAAAGAAAGGAATTTTCCCCAATCAAGGAATTGGACTGGCAATATTTGTAATTTTCTCCATGCCCCCTCCGAGGTCCAATCCATCTGTAACAGTACGATGTCAGGACAACATGTAATTTCATCTCTCTTACCCAACATGCACAAATGGTTTTTATTCTCTTTTTAATGCAGCAGAGTGGTGCCATGTAAGGGGGAGACCAGTTTTCAGCAGCATGCTATAAAGTTCAGACAGTTGCTATGTACCATATGCGCATTTGCACGTCCATCCTCTATTCTAAGAAACAATATTAACACCGGGAAATGGCTCTGTTTGAACCCCAGTCTTTAGCTTAGGGTGGCCAAACTTAACAAATCCCTAGGCAGCTAATAAAGCAGCTAGTAAAATTGGTGGTGGGGAAAGATGATTTTAGCATCCATGCTGTGCTCACAGCTGAACCTTTGCATCCAGGCTCTGAAAGCAGCAGCTGACGAGAAATTTTAGGGTATTGATTTCTGACTTAGACACTTGGGGAGGTAATAAGGTTGCAAGGAGTAACCTCGATTGTTTCATGGACTGACTATTGCCCGTAGTATGCTGCCTAATGAAAACTGTCACCTACAGTATATGCTCATGACTCAACAGCTAAACTGCAGTTTCTGCCTAAATCTACAGACAGCATCACTCATGAAACTTCACAAGGGCTCATAATTCTGAACAAGAGTATGGAAAATGTTTTCTTTGGCTTGTTAGCTAAAAATCTTTACCGAGTGCAAGTCCTAGACTTAAAACCAGCTAAAATGCTACTGGATCTCTGGGCATCTCTAAATAATTTCATAAATATAAAATAGTTTTCCATTAAAATATTTTCTTTTTATTTTGAAATGTTTTCTTTTTATGTTCATTATTGCACGTAAACAGAAGTGAGTTAGGGGAAGTCCTTTGCATATTCCTGGGGGTTCTGTTGGTACCTCTGTTAGGGACACTTATCAGTATACTGCTGACAAGCCCCCAAACAGCAAACACAGATGTTGTGCAGGTGGTTTAGTGACTTACTCCATTGAGACACCACACACAGACCTCAGTGCAGAGGTTCTCTGGGATGTTGCTCTCTAGTTCCAGGCTTGATAAATTAAATAAGCATGATGAGCAAGATGATATAGTGGCAGTAGAAAATCAAACCAGAAAGCTTTGGTGACTGGAATATATGTTCTTGTGTTATTATTGCTCGGCTGCTAGTCATCAGCCTTGACAGCAGCAGTGCAGGAACAGCAAAACGCATCTGACATCTCTTCCAATCACTTCCCTTTCCCACTGGGAGTCTCTGTTGGATCAGCAAAAATACTGACCAGCTGATAAGGTTTGAAAGGCATATATAGAAATAGCAAGAAAGGGCTGGTGGAGCAGATATCAGAGAGGAGGAGACTGGTTCGTGAGAACAATTTCCTCTGTGCTTGTGTCTGAACACAGCTGTCAAGCTGGGGATCTACTGGAGCTCTCCTGTGGCCCCCATATGTGGGTTTCCCACTGAAGACAAATTGCAAGGACAGGATGGACCCCAGCCACATCTCGCCCTGTATCCAAGTTAGGACACAGCCAGAGAACTCCTAAGGACCTCACTACAAACTGGTGTAAGTCACTACAGCTCTGTGAGCACCAGAAGATGATTAAATGGAACAATCTGTCTGAAAATGGAAGCTATAAAGCTTCAAGTTGGAAATACAGAGTATTTCTGTAGAGAAGGAATGTGTATAGGTGTGGAAGTAATTAGCCGTTTGATTTATTTGCCTACTGTCAGCGCTGACATCCTTTAACTCAAAACTTGATGTCTTTCCAAAAGAGATATTCTAATTCAGCCAAGAGCTGTAAGCCTGGGAGAGGAATTGATTTGTGAAACTGTGTAGCCTGTACAAGGGCTAAGATTGGTGCTTTCTGACATTCCCATTTGTGTTTGGGTATCTTTCACATTATTTCAATATGCTGAAATGTAAAATAGAAATTGGCATTAATTGACTGCACAACACTGGTTCAGGAAGATCAAGAGTTAAAACATCTTGATGTTCATTCTAATAAAACATTGCGGTCTGAAACACAGATTTGATTGCAACAACACTATGTGCCCCAGCAAAGATATGATTATGGGTCAATCATCTCCACAAGTGAAAGCACATTCCTGATGCACACTACAGTGATAGATTAATAAGAAGGCTCTTCTTTCATGATCGCAGTCAGGATAAAAATGTAATTTCCTACCCATAGAATAGTGGATGTATTGGTAATGAAACAGAAAACTTCTTACACAAATAACTCGGTGTTAGAAATTGAACTATCAAATGAATCTGAACTACAGCCGAATCAATTTGATAAACCTCTACAATATGATTGTATCAGCTCCAGCTTGCAAAGAAAACACAGTTACTTTTTGCTACAGGAAGCAATGCTTTTCCTAGGAAACATCAATGATATTACTGCTGAAAAGATACACCACCGGCAGTCTTTTCCAAAGAAGAAAGACACTTTGAGGGACTGATGGAAGAGGAGCAGAATGCAGTAACCCATGCCATAGCGCTTGATATCATAGGTGCACTGACCATCACAACGTGGAAGAAGGCCTTCAGAAGGCCTCAACTCAAGGTTAACCAGTCATTTTTCTCCCCATTTTTTAGATTTCTAACCACTCTAACAGAGTCACAGAATGTTAGAGATGGGAAGGGACCTCGAAAGATCATCCAGTCCAATCCCCCTGCCGGAGCAGGAACACCTAGAGCAGATCACACAGGAACGCATCCAGGCGGGCTTTGAATGTCTCCAGAGAAGGAGACTCCACAGCCTCTCTGGGCAGCCTGTTCCAGTGCTCTGCCACCCTCACCGTGAAGAAGTTTTTTCTCATATTCCAGCGGAACCTCCTGTGTTCCAGCTTGAACCCATTGCCCCTTGTCCTGTCACTGGATGTCACAGAGAAGAGCCTGGCTCCATCCTCCTGACACTCACCCTTTACATATTTATAAACATTGATGAGGTCACCCCTCAGTCTCCTCTTTTCCAGGCTAAAGAGACCCAGCTCCCTCAGCCTTTCCTCAGCAGGGAGATGCTCCATTCCCTTCATCATCTTTGTGGCTCTGCGCTGGACTCTCTCCAGCAGTTCCCTGTCCCTCTTGAACTGAGGGGCCCAGAACTGGACACAATATTCCAGATGCGGTCTCACCAGGGCAGAGTAGAGGGGGAGGAGAACCTCTCTCGACCTACTGACCACCCCCCTTCTGATACACCCCAGGATGCCATTGGCCTTCTCGGCCACGAGGGCACAGTGCTGGCTCATGGTCATCCTGCTGGCCACCAGGACCCCCAGGTCCCTCTGTGTAAAATCTTCCAACAGCTCCAATGACCCCTTTTCAACCTTTCCGGGTGACTCCTAGTCCTCTCTGGACACCCAGGGTAGATGGGAAGAGAGAAAGGCTCTGATGAATTGGTGAGACAGGAAAAAAAAGACTCCCAATGTCTCTGGTGCAGCTCTTATGTGTTGTGGCTTGTGCTCAGAAACACAAGCAGTTGTGCACACTCCCAGGCATTTTCTGATCCCACGGCAAACCATAGATTGAGGTAATTAATGGTGACTGAGATCCAGGAGCATCTTACTGCTCAATTCTCTACTGCTGAGAGCTTGCTTTCCAGCTTGTTCCCCACCAAAGACATCCTGCTGTGACTGCGTGAGATGTATCTCACACCTGTCTCTACAGGGGATGGGACGTCCCAGTCCCTATCCATGTAGGGAAGGGATTTGAGCTTTAGAATCACGCTTCAGAGATGCAGGGGCAGATCTTCAGTGTCAAGCAACTCAGATTTAAGCACTGAGGACCCACACACTTAATCCTGATTTTGCTCAAACAAAAAACTAACAGCATTTTTCTCTGGACCTAAATTCCTGGATCCAAATACTTCTGAAAACTTGAGGACAAAGTGAAAACAAGTATCTAGTCTGAAATTACAGTTATGGTTTCCAGTTTTTTTAATATTTTTTTTTTTTATATTCAGAACTACACCTCCAGTTTTGAACTCCAAGATTCTTGAGATTTTGAAATCCAGACCGGCATTCATATGTTCTTCTCTGTTCTTTCTTGGGAGTTAATAGTGAGAAAAATAATATCTGAATATTACTTACAAAACAACAGGCCCATTGGCTCCTTGGAAGACCTCATTAGGTAATTTTTCTAGGTTGTGATTATCACTTAGATTTCTGAAAAACACAACAAAATTGATGCTAAAACAATCTGAGATTTAAAAAATAGCTTGTAGCAGTTACTACCTTCTAATAATTGCTTTTCAGAAAAGTAAACCACAGAATTAGTTACAGCTCATCCAGGTAGGTTCCATTAAATGCATGATTCTCAATTTCCCGAATCCCGTTTTTATTCAGCCATCTGCAATAGAGAGAAAGAAAAAAAAAAAAAAAGGGTTGTGTTCTGATTCATGCTTTGTAACTAAAATGTATGTAATTCAAATCAGTGAAAGGGATTTCACACAAACAAAAATAATCATTAAATGGATATTCAAATGGTGAGATTTCTATGAGCACTAGCTGGTAAGATCCCAATAGTCGGGAGGCTGGGGAGAGCAGACATGAATAGGGCAGATGAGCCCTACCATCAGAGCTGACAGCTAGAGGAAGGGTCTGAAGCAAGGGCAGAGCCGATGAAGATGCTGGTGCTGCCCATGGGTGTCCTGGGAAGGCTGTAGTGGGGTTGGTGAGGTTGGTCCAGGTTAATCCCAGGAGGGGTGAGACCAGGATCCTTCCTGCTGGTGCTGTCGGTGCCACTGAGGTTTACTTTTTTCAAGATGCTCTTGAAACACTGGGCCACAGTTTAACTTTTGACAGTTATTAGAAAAAAAGACTCAGGAATCAAAGCTCCTGGGGCTTTCTGCCAAGTTTTTTACTGTAGTGCATTAACTAATTGACGTTTAACGTCCTTCCCCCTCTTCCCTTCACGGTCCTAAAAATCTACATTTGGGTCAGTGGTATTTATCATCTTTATGGTGCAATCTTTCATCTTGCTTTAAATGTCGCTTTGCAACTCGTGCCTTCTCCAACAGGCAATGACAGGTCTGATTGATGGCAAAAACGGTCTGATTTAATGAAACTGTCAGCAAACCTGGATGGTTTGTTTCTAATTCACACTGAAAGCTGAGCATACGCAAGCGACCCGCTTATCTAAGGTGGTGAGCTAAGGTCAGCGTGAAAAGCCGTTATGGGTCTGGCTGAAAGGATTGTCCTTTTGACCGTGCCAGGAGGATGTACATAGCTCTGTGTCTATAATGTCTGTCAGGTTGGGTCAGGAGAACTGTCACCGTCCCCTTCGCTTGCAAGCACTATTAGATATGAATGAGCAGGCACAGAGGAGAGATGTCCCTGGTTATGGCATTTAAAACATTTATTATATCACATTGATCTTATCCATTCGGAGCTGCTAGGCTGATATATACGCTTTTAATCACAGTATTAGCACTTACTGCGTTCCCTCACTGAACATGATGCTGACACAACGAGATACCAAGGCCATAAAATCAGAGTCACTGCTGCAATACACAGTGGGCTATGGACTCCAGTCACCTGGCTAATCACCTTCAAGTAGTAAAAAGAGCAAACAAAACTCGACCTAAATCCAAGACCTCATTACACTTTATATAGACAAGTTTCTATCAACACTAATTCTCCCCCCAGTTCAACCAGCATCCTTACTGACTCCTGTAACTCTCGTGTTAGCAACAAGTGACAATGGAGGCAGAGATCCAGACATATGGGCTTTTACTCACTATTCCATGTCCACAGCAGTATTTTTAAAACACGCTTTAAAATTCACCCAGTGCAGGAGGTCAGTGCCCCTGCTGCACTATTTAGACCCTATTTCAGGGCACGAAATCTCTATCTGCAAGGTGAATTTCTTCCATAAATTTCTAGCACTTCTTTACCAAACGCATCCACAGTTCCAGTCTGTGCAGATTCCACGCATGGTGCAAGATCAGATACAATCCAAATTACTGGTTTAAACGTGCTTGGAGCCTGCCACAGCTAAGCCTGCTAAAATTGGGTCTCCCCAGAATGTGGGCATTCAATGGGTCCTGGGTGTTTTTGATGCCATCTGGACATGCCTGATTTTGCAAAATGATGCTGCTGTAACAGTAACTTTCTATTGCACTGCATAGTGACTTCAGTTTTGTATAAAAAACTGGCAGATCTGGGTCTGAAATGAGCAAGTTCATCATAGCACAAGAAAAGCCTCACCAGGGACTCTCAAAGAGCATATGCAGGGCCTCTGTCCCAAGGGACAACTACAGCAGAGGCTGGTGGCCAGGTAAAAATCTGGGATATTTATCTCCCTCCTTAGTGGCATTATGGAAACAAATACAGTACTTGTTCAGCAGAGCTCTGAAAATACAAAGTCCCACCTGACCAGCAAATATTATCATCATAGGAATCATAGAATCATTAAGGCTGGAAAAGACCTCAAGGATTTAAAAGATAAACCAGTACATTTAAGGTATCATGACTTGAACATCTGTTTGAGAACACTGTGTGTGCATTTAAAACTTCAGGGAACTTGACAGAGATGGAGGTTGTGCACAACTGATGGGGAAAAAGGTGAGATAACAGCCAAGTAACTTGTTACTGGCCTCTCTTCAAACATGGATGGTCTGACCTTGCTCCCACCAAAATCAACGTGAGCCTCATCAATCAGATCTTGCTTGTTTGCTTTCATGTACGAGGTAAACTGCACACATAAAGTGGGAAGTTTTTCCAGTCTGGCCACTGGCTAGGTGAAATGAAGGCAGCTTGTTAGCAAGCAAACACTCTGTTCCGATATACCAACAGAAAGGATCAAAGAAGCGACAGCTCATTAAAAAACCGTGATGGCTCAAGTCAAATGTAGAGTCGTCTAACCATGCAGTTTGAAACTGCATTGTGAACCAGCTTGTTTCAATGCATTAGCACTGTGTACAAATATATGGCATTTTCACAACATTTACATATATTTTTCTCAAGTAATAAATGTCTTTGAATGATGTGCCTGACTTCAAATATTTATGAGTTGTGCCATCCTTCTGAACACAATTCATATCACACAGAACTGCTGTTGTAGGTGGAATCTGTTTAACCTTGGCATCAACAATTACTAAATTTGCTGTATGCTGTGCTTCTAAAATAAAGAGCAAGATTAGAATACAACAACAACAAAAAAAAAACCACAACACAAAAGCATTCATCTTTCATGGCAGGAAAACAGACATTTCAGGGATAGGGAAGAAGTCTGAAACCTTAAGCTAAATTTGGAAGTGCATAAAATAGTGCCCACCCCCTAGTTTTCTTGACCTTATTCTGGAGAAGAAATGAGCTAATGAGGAGAGTTAGTGGATTTGCTGTGTCTTACTCACAGAATCACACTTTCAGAGCTCAGGCCCATGAATGAATTTCTTTCGATTGTACGTATATTGATATTGTCTTGAATGTCTCTGAAAAACACAACAGAACCGACACTTTTTATACCTTTGGGAACCTTTCAATATGACCTGGTAAAAAAGCAAAACATTTCCAACACCCCCATACTGTCCTCCCAAACAGGCTTAAACCATTAAAATGCAGAAAAGCTCGGGTCTTATAACCCTAAAGCAGGTGAAATAGCTCCTCCAGCAAACATACTGCCCAGAAAACACAAGCTGAGGGGCTGTCAGGCCGCCTCTTCTTGCAGCCTCCCAACCAGAAGCAGGAAAAGCCATTCGCCTTTTTGTCCCGTTTCAGCACGGTACCTACCAGCCCACAAATAATTCCCCACTCATGTCAACGGGGTTGCTTATAAGCTTTGTACATGCTTAAGAATTTAAGACATGGGACCCTTGGCAATGCCATTTGTTGAACTGACAAGGAGGTATTTCAGTTTTTCCGCAGTTTTGACCGAGATGGAAAAAGGAACGGCAGATATACGTTCTGTTGCTTGCTTAAAATAGCCCTCAAAGAAGTTAAGCAGCATTACTCATAATTTAGACTGGGGATACGGTTGTTTTCATGCTGTTTCTGTTGGAAAGCCTGGAACAAAATGAATTATCTGCAAAGCTTGAAATGAAGCGCGGTTCCAAAATTATCTCCCGCTGACAGTTGAATGCAGCCCCAACTCTGCGTTAAGCGACACTTACACAGAGGCCTCCTTCTGCAAGCGGAGGTCCGAATAGGGAGGGAGCACAGCACTCATACAAGTGAAGTGTATCCCTCTGCTAAGGATCTGCACGAGGCCTTTATAAACATCAATGACCCATCAAGACCTATTTTGGGGACTTAAATATTGGTACAATGGAAGCCAATAGGAATATCCTCCCTGACCTCACTGGGGCCAGGGTTTGAACCAAGGTCTAGTTTGGGACTCAAGCAGTATCAAGGCCTACTTATTCTTACAGGAAAATGGGGAGTTTCGTCTGAAAATAAATTTAAGTCTTGCTCAGCAGGACATAATAGTCCAAGTCTAGTTAAGACTGATGATAAAGGTATACAGGAAGAAAGCTCTCTAGCTCCCTCTCTGTAGCATTTGCTTGATGGTTTTGGCGAGCCCTGAAGTGCAGTTCTCAGAATTGCAAATGTCAATGGTATTACAGAAATTCATTTCTTATCTTACATGTGTGAATACTATATTTGGGCACCCCCCTCTACGTTTTCTATGCATTTTTAGTTATATTAATGGCCATTACTAAGACCATTGCAGCTTGAAATCTTCTAATCAAAGGTTTGACCATACAGAACTTTGCCTGTGCATTAACAATATATGTTGTCCAAAGCAAGAGAATAAATAGTTGCTCATTTCCTGGGCTTTTTGCTTTCAATTATACTAAGAATTGATTGAAAAATTTACACCAATATCTTTTTCAGTGGAAAAAAAAAAATCAAGCTTTTTCTGACATGCATTTTCTTACAGAACAAACGTGCTTTTCCAGAAAAAAAAAAAAAAAAAAAAAGGTGCCTGTTCACACAAAATTTTCACAAATATTTTTTCCCTTTTGGCACTGGAATTTTCCAGAGAAAAAAATAGTTCATTCTGTTTCACTCATTCATAGTTTTACTGCCACTGAAAAAAAAGGGCATGGTAGAGATATTCCCCTGTGGTTTTTTTTTCTTTTTTTCCTCTGGGATGTGGCCACCTCTCCACAGAAAACATCTCCAAGATCACCAACCCTTCCCATACAGGCCAGAGAACTGTCACCAGGTGGCAACAAATTTCCACTGCCACCAGCCTGGTTTGGATTTCAGCTGGTGAAAGAGGAGTAAAAGGCTGTTATCCATCCCCTGGGCCACACAGGCACACTCATAGCGGAGCTAAAGGAAGAGTGGCCTGTGAGGTACAAATGATAACACTTGGTAGAAGGGAGACCTAGAGAGAACCGAGACCTTTCAGGCCACATTATCATCAGTGCCTTTACACTGCCGTGAAGCTAATAAGCAAACCCAAGGGAAACCCTGTCTTGAAATGTTTTGTTGGAACAGGAGAACATTCAAAGGGAGCTTTTAAAAAGTGAAAAGCAGACGTTAAAACTTACAGTAAAACTTTCTTTTTTTTTTCACCTTATGGACAGCAGGTAAAAACCGAAGGCCGGTGTTTGATATTAACCTGAGGGGGAGAGAACAGATAGAGATTATTCGCTCTGTCCCAGGAACGAAGTAATAATTAACAGAAAAGAAAGAAGGTAAAAACCGAAGGCCGGTGTTTGATATTAACCTGAGGGGAAGAGAACAGATAGAGATTATTCACTCTGTCCCAGGAAGGAAGTAATAATTAACAGAAAAGAAAGAAGATTGGACTTAAAATGGTAGCCGCAGGAGGCAGAGGTTAGCCACAAATGAAGGGTTTGCCCATAAAAAACTTGGCATTGTAAGGTAAGAAGGTTTTTCTCCAAAAGGCCGGTGTTTGATATTAACCTGAGGGGAAGAGAACAGATAGAGATTATTCACTCTGTCCCAGGAAGGAAGTAATAATTAACAGAAAAGAAAGAAGATTGGACTTAAAATGGTAGCCGCAGGAGGCAGAGGTTAGCCACAAATGAAGGGTTTGCCCATAAAAAACTTGGCATTGTAAGGTAAGAAGGTTTTTCTCCAAAGCACGAGATGAATTCTACCCCATGGAAGCCAAGGGAGAAACCCCACCTTGGATAATTACAGAGTCCCTCCCGCTGACCTCAGGAATCTATTGGTATCAGTTTCCCAACCATATTGTAAGAAATCAACAGCATTGACACAAGATAATTATTTTCATAATAGCTCTTTTAAGACAAAAGTATTGATTCACCACCATTTTAACCTTCTACTCTAACAGAGGATGAATTCATTCCACTGAAAATACCATTATTCCATGATAGTAGGAGAGAATTAGGGTGCTTTATTCCCCAGCACCTCCAATAGCGAGGAACCAAATACCTGGGAATGTTTCAGCAGCTTCTGTGACTGGAAATGAGCCTGAGCCTCTGTATTTAACTACCCTCCCACCACATCAGGCATCACTGGCCTCTGCATCACGGTTCCTGTCCATGAAACACCATCCCAGAAACACTGACCTTGAAGGACAACCTTGTGCCCACAGCCAGTGAGGAAACACAGTCACAGGTATCCACAGAGCTGTCTAATATAAGGAAATTTTATTAACCAGAGTAACAAGGGCAGATCAAACATGATATTGCCACACAGCAGGAGATGGCTGGTGGCTGCCCATGGCTCGAAGAATGGCATGAGTGCATGCTCCTCCTTGGACCTGGACTAGGCTGGGCTCTGACCAGATGGGAGTTTTTCAAAGCTACCAAATGTCTCATTTTGACTCTACCAAACAAAGAGAAAATTGTGACTCTTGGAAGTTTAGTGATATCTTTGTATTTTTAATATGTGAGATGGTAGAGACGGTAACTTTTCACTGAGAATATTGGCTCCTTACGGAGCTTATTAGCAGTACTATGGAAGGTATTTTTTATCCTGTCATATAAACAGAACAATATTCTTTCATTACTGGATGTGATTTTTTTTTTTTCCCCAGATTCATTCCTGAATAGTGATGAAAAGCACTAGTTGAGACCAAAAAAAAAAAAATAACAGCATTCATCTGATGTTTATTATGAACCTAGATTATTTCAGGAGAGTTGTAAACTTTCACATTTCATAATCTGAACTGAAGCTGAACACCTCCATGTGACAACCAAATCCTACATTGTGGCACTCAAGGTGACACACAGGTCCATAAAATAGTCATTCGCTTCCATAAGTTCTGCCCTGAGATCCCTGAGGTGGTGTCTGGATATCCTTACATGTTGAAAAGCCAACTTGTTACCTATCTCATCCTGTAACAAAAAGCAATGCAGTAAATGCAGGAAAAAATTAAAGAAGTCCAGTGAATATTTAAGAAGCCAGTTTGGGAAATCTGCTGACATGTCATGACCGTTTTGTCTAGAAGTCAAAGTGGTCTGACTTTACATTAGCTTAAAAATAACATCTGTCATGTGTGACCAAGAGAGCTCTACAAAAACGCCTTTGAAAAACTATTACACATAGTTAAATAGAAAGCATGATTAATGAAGCAGGTGGCTTTCACAATCCCCTTATTATTTAAAGTACTTCGGCACTTATACTTTGTAAAAGGAGGTAGCTGAAAAAATGAGAAGCGATAGAAGAAGAACCTATAACTCCCCACTTACAGTATTTTAAAGTATGCTCTCTAAATTACTGGAGATGGACAGGGTTTTAGTTGAAAGCTGCCTTTAATTTCAATGAGTTGTATGCTAAAATTTCACACAATTCCTTTTGCAAGCCAATTGTTAAATATGAATTATGGCATGTGTTTCCTTTAGTAGGTAAATGAAGAAGCAAACTGCTGCCAAGTAGCGTGTGGCTATTGCAGGGCAGAGAAGACGACATGAGAAGCTTTCCTTTCTACAGTACTTTCAGAGAAAATCTCAGTCCTCCTGTTGCAGTAGTGACAGATGATGGTATTCTAACATAGGCTATTCAAACATGGCTCCTGGTGGCAACTTACTCCCAACATATCCAAGTGCCACATTGGTTAGCAGGACTTTCACCATACATATCTGAAAAAACATGCACAAAGCCTGGGGTGATGCCATAGTCCTGATCTTTCCAATATTCCCAAAGAGTCCAGGGCTCAAGTTGTACTGGTGTCAACTGGACAGCATGAGATGAAGAGCAAAGCATCTTTGACAAATCATTATATACTGGAGTAAATCTACAGGTGGCACAAAGCACTGATTGCAGAGAGGCACAGAACGGTGATTAGGAATAGGAGAGGATGTTCTTTTAATCAGTTGCAGAAAAAGAACTAAAAAAAATATTTGGCTGGACTGCAGCCTAGATCTTCCCTCCCTTTTTATTCACCCTCCAAATCTCCAGAGACCTTTAAGTGGATAATCTTGTTAGAATGCAGATAATCCAATTTACTGAATATCTTTCCTGCAGGACAGTTTTGTCAATGTATTTACCATATAACGTATACATCCTTAGTAGCCTCCCTTTAAACAAGTGTCCTCTTTAATCTGTGTTATAACCAAGTCCCCCCTCACCATGCATAAACAGCTGGGTAAGAACCTGGTTTTCGGATGGCTGGTGGCTGCTTTCCAAAACATTAATTGCCTTTCTGAAAAGGCTCAGGAGAGTCAGCACTTAAGAAAACATAATGCCACAATCAGCAGAGGAAAAAAAAAAAAAATCTCAAAAACGAATTCCGGGAAGATTCTGGCTGCTTATCTGCAGATATAGCAACACGCCTGCTCGTTTTAACACGGAATTGGTAGGAGCTACTCTGACAAAAGTGGGAACACAGTTCACCACAGTTCACAGGGTATGTGCTAAACTGCAAACCCAAGGTAGGCAAAAATAAATACAACATCACTCAGGAAACATTATTTTTCTGTCCCTTAATCATGCTGCTTACTTTATACTGCACGTGAGCCTGACTCCAGCAAGAGATTCCTCTGACTCATGTGTCCCAGCCTTGCAGGCTAAGCCAAGCCTATAATCCACAACACCCGCTTCTGCGGCAAGGTCTTTAACCATGAGGCTGCCGTGCAAAAGGAAGGAAAAGAGCATCTCTTCTTTATATTGAAGAGTCAACTCTTGGAGCTGCAAGACTCTGGAGTTGGGGTCTGCTCTCCACAGTACAAACTATTTTGCAGATAAAACACACATTTTTGTGACCTACGTTTCCCCTCCCCTCCAACAATCCAGCTGTACGCCCTCAAAAAAGGAGTGTTACATTTAAATCTTTCTATTTTGAGCTGAGATTGCTTAATACAGGACATGGACACATTCACTGTAAAAAAAAAAAAAAAAACAGAACACACAGATTACACAGGAGAGCTAATTTTGGAAAGAAAATAGGTTTGAAAAGCCATCACTACATTATTAAACAGATAATGTCACAGCTCTCCTTAATGAGAGCCAGATAAATAATCTTGTACCCATGAAAAGGTCAATAAGTTACCATTTTGAAGCAGTCTGTCTCTTTGGCATGTATCCAAGAAGACCAATTAACAATTCTCTTCACCGCTCCTAAAAGACTGGTGAGAAAGTTAGGGTTGCACTTTTCTAAAAGTTTTAGAGTATTTCAGCAGTGCATTTTTTTTAGCATTGTATTTTCTTTTTAGCGTTGCATTTTTTTTTTTTTTAGCATTGCATTTTTTGTAATCATTTTTCTTTCCTTTGTTTTTGTGGAGTGGAGCCAAGAAGAAATGGGAGACAGTAGTCTGCGGAGTCTCTTCCAGTCCTGTGTGCCCACAAGAGAGAGTACCTTCAAAAGTACCCAAAACGTATTTTCCTCTGAATTCAGCCAGAGAGTAGAACTAGACAAAGAGGAGTAGGGAACGGTGTTAGACAAGTGATCCTCTATATTTTTAGTCTGCTGCTTCTATAGCTCATAGCAGAGCTGCTGCAGCTGAATTTTTATACCGGTAGCATGTCCGTGTCGTTGAGCCAACATGCATGGGAGCATGGAATGGCAGATGTTCAAAAGAGGGAGCATTCACTAAAGCGAAGAGAAAAACTTACAGTTCTTCAGATATTTAAAGTGGGGATTTACCTTTTTCTCACAACCTACAGTTTGTATGTCCCAGATTTGAAAATCACTGTAATTAGTGTGTTCGTTACTGTGTGCACATATGTTCTTCTTGTTCTTCAATTTTGGAAGAGATAAAAGTGCTCCCATTTTTTCTAACCATCTGTACACCTGACAACTGTTATTACCCACAGCGGCTTGTTCTGGGGATTTTACAGGGGATAAACAAGTGCTGTGTTTTGTTCATAGGTAGCCAGAATTACTCAAAGCCAGCAGTCACTGCTGAATGACTCAGGCTTGAAACCAAAGGAAAGATGCATATGATTTCTCCTTGTGGCAATGCAAATTTAAAGCTTTATCTCCCTACCACCAAGAGAAAAATACTGGGCAGAACGACAGTCCTACCATAACTCTAACCACGTATTCCAGTTCAATAAGGGTTTAAACTACAATGGTTTGTTTAGCGCTAAATTCACCTTACCTCTTAAAGTTCAAACCCTAAGTCTCAAATCTTCAAGTTCAAATTCAAACCAGTGCCTTTTGTGAATTTTGAGCTCAGAATCTGCTAGATACTAGGGATTTTCAGAGACCTTAAACACACATTAGCTTACTGGGAGCTATGCTTATTAGACCACCGAGCTGATTTCGTCCCATTTTCAAGAAATATCCAGCCAGACAATTAAACACTTACTCTTAGGTACCCAAATGTAGAAATCATGATCATGCTTCTTGGATGAGTAAGGCTTCTTGCGTAAGTAAGGAAAACGAGATTAGGCATACGTGCTCAGTGGATGGACATATAAAATTAAACTAATGTCCTGCTGTACACGCCACTGTTCAGCAAAGACCATTGGGGGAGCTCATTTAAGCTATGGCCATTAAAAACAATTGCTTTTAAGCAGAGCTCGTTGGATTTCATTGGGGTTTTATGCAGAGGAGAGATTATTAGTCATGTTAAGATCACGTGCTAACAGCTATGAAACTATTTTTGGGTAAGAGTTTATTTTAAGGATTAATTCAATTATCACTGAATTGTGATGGCAGCCCCATGGGAGCAGATGTGGCAACCACAGTTGTGCAAGTGGCATTCTTTGATGAGGTTAGCTAATGAAATAAAGTTATACTGTACACCAATACGTTTGTAGTCTAAGGTTTTAATCATCTCACATCAATGAAAACCATCGCTATAGCACTGCCACTGCTAAAGAAAAGAGAATTTGGATGCTTAATACCATTTGTATGAACTATAACAGAAGGCAGAGCTGTAGCAAAGACACATGAGAGAGACTTTGTCCCAAAGCTCTCAGGAGGAATTTCAACCTAAAGTTGTTTTTATAGACAGAAAAAAGGCCCAGCTCCTTTTCTCATCTCTCAGTTTCAACCCGTTGCTTAGAAAGGCTCAAAGACCTTATGCGTGGGAACACTCCACGAAGGGTATTATCTCCAGCTTTTCTGAGGGCTGTGTGCAGGCCTGGGGATGAAAATGTGGATGACAATGTGCAGCTAGCAGGGGGAGAGAGGGCACTACCCTGTCTTATTGCCAAAAGTGCTCAGCATTCAAAATTACTACAGTACTGGCAACGAACAAAAGATCTTACAAATATCTGAGGCTTGGAAGGTGTTGGAAGGCATCCTGATCAATGTACACGAGGTTGTTGGCCTTCTCAATTCTTCTGCAAAGAGAAAATGAAACAGCAGAGGAATTATATCAATATATTGATCTTGAAGTATCTGTGATTGCCCCATGAGGTGGTGGTGCTGTACAGTGAGATTTTCTTTTTGACAGCGGAAGATCTGCATGATTTCAAATAGACCGGCAGAACCCACCACCCTTTGATATCCACTGTGGTTTGAGGATGAGTTTCAGGCTGACCAGGGAAAGAAAGGGACAGTTAGATAAGAAGATGGAAAAGGCAAAGGGAGATTTCAGATGTTCCTTTACCGCTATGAATTCTTTAGAGCTTACCTGAACCAAACGGCAAACCCTTCGATACTTGCATATAATGAATCTTTATAATTGTCTCCTTTGAATTTTGATTGCTCATTACTTACATTTCATGTAGTTTGGGAAGGTTGAAAAACACATTTGCTTCTATGACCTCCAAGGCGTCATTCTGTGAGATCTCTCTGAAAAAATAATTTAGAAGTCAAGATATTTCATGTCATGGTGGAAGAGAGAATGGACAAGTGAAATATTCACAAGGAACTTCTTCCTAGATTACTGATGAATTTTAAAAATAGAGTGGATATCAGATATGAAAACAGACCCCCAAAACACCGATGAGGTGCCACCAAGCCCAACAGTCAGGAACAGACATCTTCTGAGGCTGAAGACTGTCTGTAATGGCAGTCCCACACCTCCTGCTGTCACCATTCCCTGTGTCCTGAAGGCAGGACCCATCCATCCTTGGCTATTGGATCTCTGACATCCCTAATTACAGACAGAGATTTAATGAAAGCTTTTAACTTGGTGGAGAAAAGGGGGGGTGAAAGGTGACTGAAATAGAGAAGACAGCTAAAAAGTTCCCAAGAAATATGACACAGCTTCAGCAGCAGGACATGCTGCTGTCTTGACCCGATGTAAATTACAGAGATTAAAACTAAGCCACCAGCAGACACATCCTTATTAGCAGGAGCTGGAGAACACGAACTTGAAGTCTTCCAAACCTTGGAGAAAATCCTATTTGATCTCTTCTGTAATACAATTAACGTTCACTTCCAGCCAGAACTGCAGAACAAAAATGGCCAATTTTATGTTATCAACACACCAGAACACATTTCCAGGATATATATATCTATTTTTTTGGTCCCTTAATCTGTGGGATGGCAGAGAGATGGCTCAGGCTCTGTTATAATTTGGAGCTCAGGAGTTCTTCTGCTGAATCAAGGGGTAATTACTGCAGTGCAAACTCTCCTGATTACATCCCTTATGCTGGAAAGTGGAGGTAAAGATTCCCTACTACCATAGAAATGGGGCAAAAATCCTATTTACCAGGCTGAGGTCAGCTGTAGAAAGTAAAATTTGTAATACAGATATAACTCGGTGATAGTGTCATGATCTATTGGATTTTAACAGCAAGGTCACTGTGCACATCTTTGGAATGAAGCCCTGGATAAATAGTCAGACTGCAAATCAGCCAGCACTTGGTCCTGGGTATTTTTTCTTTTGAAATTATATTGGTTGCAAATAGATTTGAACAAAAATAATCACAAAAATTATTGTAAGTAATATAAAAAGTATTCCGCTTCCTTCTAACAACTGACCTGTACCTAACAAATTACCTGCCCATTTAAGATAAACAAAAGACTCGCAAAAGAAGTTGCTCATCTGACTTCTTCTGCTTTAAAAACCCCCTCAGTGGTTTGATATGTTTTATTTTAATAAGAAGCTCTCCCTCCTGTTTCCTCAAAGTTTTTCAGAAGAAACCCAGCTCTCCTCTGCTCTGGGAGCTCAATACTGCCTGGAGAATAAGAAAATAAAAGTACATGAGGACTGCCAATCAGTGCTTGGTAGGGTGCTGTGAGAACTGGGTTTGTCCAGCAGTGCCGAACCACCAGCTCACACCTGAACAGGTTCCTCTGTATTTGTATGACAGCACAATTCACTCGCTTAACCCCAGTCTAGAAGATTTAACATGGGAGGTGTCTCAGACTTTCTAAGATTCGGTTTGGGTTTGCTCATGTTCTTTTTTGGGTGGTCAGCAGTATATTTGCCATTCCCTACAATCTAAAGATCAGTTCAGGAGAAAAAAAAAAAAATAATCACAGAAAAAGCAGAATATTTACTACCAAGAAATTTCATGTCACTAAACAGCTCATGGAAAAACGTTGCAGATTTGTTGGCCTTATACAGGCAAAAAAAAAAAAAGTTTATTAAGAAACCACAATATAGTGTTGACCTCACCCAACAGATAGGGCTGTCGAGGGTAATAATTTTTGACGATCCAATCTGCTATCTAACTTTGGAACAACTTGGACTGTATACTTCATTTAAGGGAATGCTTAAACCCGAATGTTTCTGCATCAGGAGAGTGTTTTGGCTTCCTAAGAGCATGATGGGTTATAGGCTTTGTTTTGGTTCAAGAAATGGAAGATACAGATCTGGTTAAAAGTAGGGCGTGAGCAAGCCACGGTGCTTTGAAAGGCTTGGAGAATGAATGGTTAGGGAAGGAATGAAAGAGGTAGGAAGATAGGAATCTTTAAACTGTTTTTTACAAGATTAAGTTTTTAAAAGTTTAAGTTTTTAAAAGAACACTCATATGAGGGAGGTATTTCAGAGATTGGGGGGATGACTTGGATTTCATTCTAATATTCACAGGCACAAAGATGAGAGTCACTTTTTTTTTTAAAGGTAATGAAAATATATCAATTTAAAATTACTTTTGCTATCTTTCAGCTCAGGAAAACAACTACTGCAGCCTTGTGAGCCTCTCAAGGCAAATCAAGGGAACAGAAAGGAAACTTGTCAGTGGCAGAAGGCACTAACCCTTCTGGTGCTGGGCTTCACCCTCTGTGTTCAGGGGATTGCAGGGGGTAAGAGGAAAGGACAAGACTTTCTGTTCCCCGCAATGAGTTGTGCGTCCTCTGCTACACTTTCTCCAGAAAATCCTGTTGGTGGTGACCTGACTCATCATCATTCTCCAGTGCTGTGTTCTGACAGAAGGCCATTGCTATTCTCGTCCTTTGGGGTGTCCATATGCCTGTTACGGGCTGTCATTCACGTAAGAAAGATAAACTAAAACCAAAATATTCAATTTAGGAGATCAGTCACACGCTGTGAACAACAGGCAGCACTAGTCTGTGTTTTGGTTGCATAATTTGTGTGAAAAATTTATTCGTGCCTGGCAAAAAAAGCACACCCCGCTCACAGAAAATGCAAAGAACACTCTCTGGGGTACAGGTAACTCTGGCAGTAAAAGTACAAACCACTGCCGCTCGTATCAAACGACTGACTCAGGAGACTCAGATCCTCTGTAGAGGAGAGCACGTAATACCTACAAACAGAAAAAAGGGGATTGCTGGCCAGTATTTGTGCAAGTGATTTGTCTTACAGTATAAATACACACAACCAGATGATTGCTCATAATGCATATCTTATTATGTGTCATCAGGAGAGAAGATGGGACTGTTAGTATGTTGTTTGTTTGCAATGAACAATACTATCAGCTCTACTGCTAGCTATCATGGCAAATCCAGATGGCAATCGGAGCATTATTTCTGATGCATGCAAGCCCTTGAATAGGTGGCATGCAAAACAATCAGTGGCAATTTGTTAAAAAAAAACCCCAAAGCTCCAAAACCCCAAACCACCCAGTGGCTGCAAAGCACTTAGGCATCTGCTAAGCTTGGTTTCCACTGCATGCACACACCACGGAATTTATAATTCAGAGCAGTTTCTTTGTAGTCCTCTACTGAAAAAGTCTCTTAGACTAAGCAAAGTCTTACATCAAAAGCAAGACGATATTAAACTCACAAACTAATGGTCTTGCAGACAAGCGGCCTCACATTTCAAAATAATGAAAAGAATAAAAGACTGGACATTTCTATGTCTTTTATGATAAGAATTCCTTTCAGGCTCACAGTGGGACACACAGACACATTTCTATGTCTTTTATGATAAGAATTCTTTTCAGGCTCACAGCAGGGCACACAGAGAGGGACAGGGTCATTTTTCCTCTGCTAAAAAACGTGCCTATTTAAAACAAATATCTGTGTATGTATGCGTGTATATGTACAGATCTAGAAGTTTAACATGGATGAGTAAGTGGAAACTTGTGGCAAAAGAAGGGCAAACCATACACGTGGCAGAACAGATGCGTGTATATGTACAGATCTAGAAGTTTCACATGGATAAGTGGAAACTTGTGTCAAAAGAAGAGCAAACCATACGCGTGGCAGAACAACAGCTTAGAGGCAGATCACAGCATCCGTCCCTTACATGGTGCCCAAGGAGGTATGCTCTCGAGCATGAAGACCTCGTAACACCAGCAGCAAAAATGACATAGAGCAACTGGTGCCCAGCTGGTGGGCTTGGCTGTACGATGACCACAATGAATGAGAGATCGATGGATTGCTGTGTTTCATCTTCCTGAAGCAGGCTAGCAGAGGAGCCCGCCCTGTTTGTGGAGGTTTCTCATGCATTTGTTTGGTGCGTGCACCTTGCCCACAGCTATGGCACAAGGTGTGAAGGGGGATTTCCCCCCTCTCCAGCCACCCTGCCCTCTTTTAGAGCAATTTGCTAGTTTTCCTTGGTGGTTTGACCGATGCCACAGTTTATGGAATTAGCAGCAGTGTGGTGTCACGCAGGCAGATCCTGCACAGTGTTCACTGGGTGAGCATCTGTGGGAACAGCCTGGGATGCGTCTGAGCTGAAAAATCAAACACCTGGCTACCACCTTTGTCTCCATGTTGATGATGGAAGAGCTCTTATTTCTTATTTCTTCCAGTCTGATCTGAAACAAGACAACCTGAAATCTCCTTTTGAAAACTTCCATCTGAAATGACAGCAAAATGCTACTACATTGATTTAAACAGGTTACAAAAGAAAAGCTATTTTTCTTAAACTTATTAGAGACTTTTGACCTTTTAAAAATAGATAGTTGGCACCTTCTCCTGCCACTTTCATTGTGGACATGAAAAACTTGTCTCCCTATGATGATTTATTGAACGCCAGGGAGACAGAAGCTAATATATCTTAACAGTTATTGACATTTCAAAAGCAAATTCAAGCACTGACTCTTCTCATCATCTCTTTACTTGGCTGAAGATATAAACACATGTTATACTGACCTGACTAAGTAAGTGGCAGACCCATTGAACCAACTAAGCATTAATAGTGATTTCACACTCAGAGCAAAATAGTGTATCTGTAGGTCTTTGAAGGAGATTATCAGGAGGCACCAATACTGTGTCTTCCTCTCTTCTCCAAAGGGCACAACACCATATTTTCAAATAAATCAATGCGGGCATGGGAAAAAATAAAATGCAAATTTCCGCACAGCAGACGGGAGCAAAGGGGATTTTATTGCTATGAGTGCTTTAGCACCATGCCAGCAATCCAGATGAAAGTCTGTGGAGAGTTTGGTTGCATCAAATTAATTGTCCATGTAACAGTTTTAAATTGGTCT